CTCTCACTGCAATCTATAGCACATCCTTGACTGCATATAAAAGTTTCAGAAGAATCCGTTCATATTCTTCAGAGAAATGACTCGAGAAAACGCGTAAGGACAGCGGCAATTTTTTTTGCACACCACTGTATATATATATATACAACGTATCATTTTGATCACACCGATAAGAATCTAAAATAAAAGACAATAAATATATATTTTTTTTTATTGAATTCGAACTTAGCATTTTAATCATGTCACATTGTAGTCGAAACCGAGAACAGTTCAAGAACGTATAGATGATATACAACTGTTTCAATAGTATCAAAATACTTTCAACTTTGGAAAAGAAATTAATTCATAGAGGGAATAATTCTTGATCGAATCGGTTATAGTTGATACTGTGAGCAGTTTTAGTTTAATATATACATCCGAAGCTGAGCAATGATGAAGATGGAAAACTTCTTTTGAGAGATTTGAACACTGTGATCTCTTTCATCCTACAGAATTTTCTAAAAATATTCAAAGCTCTAGTAGCCTTTTTTGCATCAAAGAGAAACTCGAGATCGGATTTCGGTTCGTTAGTACACATTATCCTTCATTTTCACCATTATTTGGAATAATGCATTGAAAAGTCAAAAAATAATTAATTATAATGCATTAGGTCATGCGTTTTTTCAAATAATGGAAAATAATGGGTCATTTTTCCATTATTTATCCATTATCGGTTACATGGGTAGAACCATAAATAGTTCCATATGACACCTTTTTTTTCAGAGATCAAAATGTTCAAACACTGCTTGTAAATAGTCCAAATTTTGATACTTTTGATGGTCTATATTATCGTAAATACTCGTTTACGGCCGTATCTAGTTGTCGCAATGTTCATTTTGATTAAACCATATAAAATTTAAATTTATTTTACATATAAATTATTTTCACTTTGTTTCTATTTATACGCTATAAATTTTTAAAAACTAAAATAAAATGATTGTATTTCTTTGTAATATCTCGTCTTAATCACATGAATATAGAAGAAAACATGTTGAATTTTTGAAACAATTTGATTTACATATTCGTTCTAAACTCGATTTCATCATGAATAAGTTTAAATTTACCTTTTTACGAGTTCATTTTTTATTTAATTTATAGGTATATAAATATAAATAGAGTAAAGGTAATTTTCATTAAAAAAAACAAGGTAACGCGACGTTTGCGTCGCCAACCCTCTACTGAAAGGATTTAGTCATGTGGAACGTAGCTATCCAAAACTATCTAGCTGAGAAACTTCACATTTTATAGCTTCGAAATGATTTTCATGGAAAACACGATTGATAACCGAGCATAAATAGACAACTTGCTTGGAAGTATCACCAAGAAAGCGGCATTTAATTACTACTTACTAATATTATATGGCGATACTGAAGTTAAGTGCATCCGATCTGCTACAGCTCAAGCTATGCCCCCAAAAACGTTCTATCAGCTTAATAACGGAGTGAACAAAAAGGCCCATTCAGGAGAGCTATGATTGAAATACACCATTTTAGTAAAGTTACAACTCAAATTGGTCTATGAACTAGATATTTAACATTAATCTGCACGAGTAGATCAGAGATTACATCGAAGTGACTTTTTCGAACTCGATTTCGGTTAGATTTGTCGTAATTTTCGCTCCAGCTCATGTGGGTTCATTTTGTTTCGGTGCATTTCCCGTCTAGAATGGATATATTCATTCTTAGGTGCACGTTGACAGATCGATAAATCTAGGATTTACATCTTTTGAATCAAATTCACTCGCAATCAGGAAAAACTAAACTTATTATGATAATCACGACAAATATAAGTTTCAAATATTTCACACGAGTTGAGCAATTATTTCATGACCTGTCTTTGGAAGAAATTCAAGATGTCTCCTATTCTCGAAAATTGTTTCAGCTTTTCTGATCGAGACAACGTGTAACTATTCTATAAGTCTGCAAGGTTTGCAGTCTTATAATCACAACAAATTTTTAACAAGTGGGGGCGGCTAGTCATTCGTCGGCGCCCCTCTGGGGTGCCACTCACGACTAGCCGCCCCCACTTGTTTTGTCTCATATATGCGGTAAAGGTGATTCATTTAAACACTGCATTATTGATTGAAAGCTTCGCCTCATTCTATAATTATTAGATAAAAACGAAGAGAATTTTGAAAAAACCCAAAAACGACAGTTGTGGGACTAATTTAATCCAGTTTCATCTACATATGCGATGAATTCATCACAATTTCGAAAAGAATGAGACGCGATTCCCGAGAACTTAACCAGTTTCCATCCGTTCGTACATGCGCTAATCTAGAATTCTAGAAGCTAAGTTTGAATAAATTCTTCTTGCTACAATAAAAGTTGACATGTTAAGAATAAACTGAAGGCCTTGAAAAAAGCTTTCAAAGTCTCAGTGCAGGTGAGCGGCTAGTCGTTCTTCGGTGCCCTGCGGAGCGCCGACGAACGACTAGCCGCTCAAAAATTGAGAATCAATTCCACCGCACGATGCCTACAGCCTATTCGTAATGAAATCTCACATAACCATACGATACATCTAACACTATAAACATCATCAAATCGTACCCTCAAACATTTCCCTACAGAGAATTCCTATCTAGAAAATGTGACGATCTCAACAGTTAGTAGTCCATTATAAACCTGCTTGAACTTCATAATTTTAAAAAACTAACAACGCCATCGTGTTCCTCGACCCCGATTACCTTCGGTCAACCCTTATAAAAAACTATTATTTTGCTAAAAAAGTCTTTCTCTCTCCTCAAAAAAGGAAAAAGCAAAATTTAAAAAATCTGACAAAACCATCGTGTTCCCCGACCCCGATTACCTTCGGTGAGACCTATCCCTACAGATATTGGTTGAGGTTTGTTAAGTTTATGCATCTGCTTTCCTATTGGACGAACGAACTTACGAACTTACGAACTTACGAACTTACGAACTTACGAACTTACGAACGAACACATTTAACTCGTTTTTCGTAATACCCTCCTTTCAGTAGAGGGAATAAACGACATTACAATACCATTATCTCAGTATTCAGAATTATACCATAGATACACCATGACTAGAACTATTGGTGTTATTGATCACTTTTAAAGCCGCGCCGAGGATCTACCGACTTATATCGTAAAGACAAACTATCATCAGTATTCTCTTTTACTTCTTTCGCTTGATTATATCACAAATACATGCACAAAACTTACTAAACTAAAGCGAATATTTATGCATGTCCTCAGAAGCAGAAATCCTATTGTCTTATTTCATTACGTTCACACCTTGTACTTTTTTTTGTTGATGACAGACATTCTCACACAAAAGAGCAAAGTACGATGCAAAGCCTTTCAACCACAATTTGTAGCATTAAAAATAAGCACCGAAACCATCAAATAGATGCTCTCTCAGCTTTCTTTTTCCAAATCATATTTTCAAACATGCAAAGAAATCTAATAAAAACAACAGCCTTCTCTATGAAACAAAAGAAGCAAATTTCGACACCCCATGATGCATTCACAAACAATCATCAATAGATTGACTTTAGAAGAAAAACTTGAATTGAGTTTCTTTTCGTTTTCGGCAGTTGTATTACAATGAAAAAATATTCCGCATCTGATACTAAAAACGAAGAAACGGTGAAAAAAGCAACCAACTACGATCTATGTTTAATCTTGGGACTTGTAGGTTTCCTACTGGGTAGTATCGCCCTAGCTACCGTGCTTACATCATATCTGAAACAACGATGTAAGTATAAGACAAAGAATTATCGTAGTCTTTATGGAATATCATCACGAGGCTATGCTACCTCATAAGAAGTGCTCTTAATAGTAATGCCTTCATTGTATTACAGACATACCATTTTCCCTTACGAACACATAAGTACCTATGTTCATGGTTTTTAGTTTTATCATTTAACAGCTCATACATATTGATAGCATTGGTCACTTTTTGTACTTATATTAGTTAATGAAGATGTATTTGAGTAAAGAATTTTGAACATTTGATCGATTATCACAAATTAGTTTTTTTCATGATTGATATAGTAGCTTACTTCATATATCACATTCAGTTACTTATTGAAATTGTGAAAGATATTAGCCGTGTTAAAAACGGTTCCCCAATGCTCAACTATATCAAGTTTCATAGTGAACGAGAATCGTGTGATGTTTTTTACCGCAAATACCGTTGTAATGCTCTTCATACGAAACGTTTTTCATCCGTCTGACGCTGAAAAGGTTTTGCAATGGCTCTGAAACTTAAAAAGGATTCAGTATTATACAGATGTTTTAGAGTGAAGGATAGATAATCAATCTTTTTTTACTTTCTGATATACAAAAGCAACATATAGTTCATAATAAGTATTTTACTGTTTGTTCTAGCATGTGCATGCAGATCATTAGCAAGATTCTCAACAGTAACAATGAGAACTGCAACGACATCAACATCAACAACGGCTACAACGTCAACAACGACAACCACAACGACGACAACAACGACCACTACAACTACGACAACCACAACCACCAGCACTACCACAACGACAACAAAAACAAGTAAGCTCCTTTTCGTTCAGTAGAGAGTGAAAAACAAAATTCTTCGAATAGTCAAGTTTCCTCATGCGCACGTTTATAAAAGTTCGGCATCATGTACGATGCTAGGTATTGACATCAAATCATTTCGCTGATAATACAGGAAAAACCACTTTTCCTATCATATCATAATATAATAATTTTTTCAAACAATCCGTATGACATAATGTTACGTAGCAAAATTCATAAATATTTCATGTTTCATTCGAATTCAAAACAAATAAAGCGGATTATCAAGCAAAAATTTATAATTCGATTCGACAATAAAGACATTTTGTTAAGTAAACAACAAAATAAACATTTGAGCAAGAAATAGTGCTCCTTAACCACGTTTTCGATTATACTTCGATTGTATTTCTGATTTGTTTTTTCATTTCAATATCTAGCATATCTCGCTGAGTGTGCTTTACAGGTTTGTACGGAATAGCTTCACCGGCAACGCATCTCTATTAGGGGTATGACAGTTCAGATCAGATCCCATAAGAGACGCCTATATCGATATAGACATCATCCCTGTGTAGATCATAACAGTTCTCATGATCTGATCGGATCTACTCGAACAGTTCAGATCAGATCTAAGGAGCTGTCCGAACAATTCTCAGGATCTGAACTGATCTGTTCGAATAGTTCTTTCGCTCATTTGATCTGAACTTAGATCTGAGAACTGTCATACCCCTAATCTATATATCGTTTGTTCCAATTTGTGCATATTTAGTTTCCAATAATAATTATAATGCATTTTTGAGGATACAATACAATTTTTATTATCAGCTTAGTTATCATAGTTTAATTGCAAAAGTCTGGATAGGATAAATTACTACCAATTATTTTTGTTTGTAATTTATCAGCCTATTTCTCAACACAGAAAATTTTATTGGATGATATTGATATGCTGAACATTTCGGGGTACGAATAACGAGTACTTGACAGCTCTCATCTAACGTAACTACAGAATTCATTTCTTTTGCTACTCAATATCTTCAGAAATAATAATATCCTGTTGCTGAAAAGCTACATCTGTGTTATCACTGACAGGAAAAAAAGAAGAGGAATAACCTACGACCAGCATAGAAATGTTTTATCTTTTATATTCTTGTCTGGATTTAATTACAGAGAGATTGCTGGTAGTAAATCTTACTGAAGAACTTCATTTTATATACGTAACTCTAATTTCAAATTATTAGTTTAATATAAACATATGTGACGTGTTGAATATTTATCAAATAGAATAAAGAATTTTACTTTGCAAAAAATTCAACGAGTCTAGTACCGAATAACGTTACTGAACATTCAAGTAAATCACTGAATAAAAATAAACATGTTAATCTCAGAGGAAAGTAACACGTCAATAAATTTAACTCAAAGTAAACAACTATATTAGCCCTAAATGATACTTGATACTTCATCTGCTTTAAGGATAGTTACTTTAAAAAAGCGCGCTAATACTATCAAATGAAAAAATTAAACGCCAATTATCATAATGGATGTCCTAGAATAAATGTCAGTCTGAATATGTCAACAATATTTTTGTCAATTTGATCATTTCGATTTATATTTAATCACAACATTTTTTTTCATCAAATTCTCTACAAAATTATGCCATTTTCAATATAAAAATTTATACAAAAAATAATCATCTGAGAAAGTTTATGAAGTGTATAAATTATTATTTTTTAAAAGTATGTTTTCGAATAATTAATTAGTATTTACATTTCTATAACAAACATTTATGTTAACAGAGGCAAATATTTCTACAGCAGATGCTCTCAGATTGGAATGTTTATTCCAAGTGAAAAGTTGATATCATAAAACAAAATTTTCTAAAACCTTAGAAAATAGATGAATATATTGATGGTGAGGTTAATATGTACTATAGGACATCCTTTGTTGGTTTACGTATCAAGCTAAATACATCTTATCGCTACTAGTTTTAACTATAGAGTCTTACAATCATACGATGAGTGGATGTGATCAACTGTGAAAACATTCGATTTATCCAATCAAAATTGCATGTTTTTCTTCTTATTACTTATTTTGTTAGTTTCAATTTAATTTGATGAACAATCAATATTCTTGCTGTTATTTTCTTCATGAAAAATCTATTGAAACGAAAAGTTTTTTAGGCCTGGTCGATACACACATCTCATTCATAATCTCTATTTTTACTTTTTTTTAGCTACGACTCAAACGGTCACACCGAATGCAACTAGTCTGCAGTACTATTGCGCACGGATATCATCTTACATGCTTTGGAACCTATACTCTAGCAATGGCCTCTACATGGATATTGATACGAGCAATTGTAGTTTTACGGCAATCCCGCTGTATTTCACCAGTATGGCTGGTGATAACATGCACTCGATATTGATAGGTACCACTGCTATTTATTCATCTGGACAAAATACGTTTAGAATCTATATACAATCGGTGGGTGGCGACACGAGTGCCACTTTATACAGCTATTCTCAAACATACAGATGGAATGTGAACTGGTTTGGCATTTCTCCTTAGCAACTACTTTTCAATACTAATTCACTTCTCTTGACTGATTTTCATATGTTGATAAAAAAAAATACTAATGAACATTTTAAAATAGTTTATAGTGAACAGAAGTCCCATTTTCACATACTCGCATACTCATACCCACTCTTTATTAAGTATATTCAATATTAGAACAAACACGGTAAAATTCGTTTTTATCAATGATATTAGTATATTTCTCAAATAAATTATATACCAATACGTACCTATATGAATGATATTCATGATACACAATGTGGAGGTGTTAAGATTTAATGCAAGTCATGTATCATCAGTCGTGTAGCAAAAAAAAACAATAAAAATCACTTTTTCTTTCAGAACTGTTTCCAGTTTCTTAAGCTAGAAAATATTACTACACAAAATTTTTGAGATTCTCTTTGTAAATTCATATTTTCTGTTTGAAACGTATATACAGTTGACTCATTGAAGTATACTGAGAAATCAATAAATTTTTGTTTACAAAAAAGCACGAAACACGTCAGATGCTTTATTTTTTCTATTTTTGCCAAGCTTGTAGCATCTCTTGCTGTATCGATTTCTGTGAATAAGTTATTGATTTGACCTGCTCCGTCAAAAGAAATAAAAAAGTGTCATCTCTATATAGTCTTTTAATATCATGTTGTAATTTAGGACTAAATGAACACCAAATTTTGTTATCTTCTACGGTCATATAGTGACCAATAATTATTTATGTATATAATAAACTATATGAAAATGTATGAAAATGCTTCAATAGGTTCGAAATCAACTAAATGATTTTCAGAAAGCTGTGTCTATTATATTTTAATAGTTTCGAGAATGAATCCAATACTATCTAGAATATTACATCTATCGAATAAATAGTTGAGTATGATCACCAATAACTTACAAAAATTTGCTCTAGTGGTTTTCTATTCATTCACTATACTTGTTATTATAAAACCTGCCGAACTAATATCTTATTATCGATCACTGGAAATCAGCTGAAATTCCAATAGTAAAAGAATTATTGAAGCTACTAATAGCTGGAGAAAGAATTCTACTTCTAGTAGGAGAAACAAATTGGCATGTTCATCTGGCCAGAAACTAGAGCAAAGGTGAATTTTATGACACTCTTGATTTTAGCAAGTATTCATTGATCCCATAATGAAGACATCAATGAATTATACGTGATGCCCACTGTGCGGTTTGGATTATGAGTGATGGCAGAAGGAAGAGCATTTAAAATTTTGCTTTTATGTCGTCTACTCAATAATTTAGTAGCTGGAAACAAAAGATTGACATCAAAAGAAATAGCTTCAATCAAAGACCTAACCTATGAACTAGGAATTTGTTGTAATTCGTAATAATCGATATTTTTGTCAGTTTATTCTCAGAAAACTCAGTCTACATGATTCGAAGATATTTTGATATTGTGAGTGAAGCGCAACATATCCACGAAACAGTGAGAGAGCATTCTGAGCATTGCCTCAAAGTAGCATCTAAAACTATAAATAAGAGCTGTATTAGCAAGCTGATTAAACAGCTAACATATTCTTCAATTGATACTAACTGAATCTTTACCTCAGAGGAATATTTTAACAGTATGGAACTCGTTGTAGGTCTTTCGTGTGTTCAATTACATACTGTTGGAACTTTAACGACGAAATAAGAATGAAATTACAAGAGAACTCCAATCAAATCGTCGACATCGCCAGCCTCTGTAAGTGATTGTATTGCGCAATATTATGGCACTGAATTCGAGTGCTTCAGCGATCAGTATAAAACGACGTTAATAATTTGATCCAGTAGAAGACGAAAGAAAAGTCATTACTTATGACACAAGCTACACATTCCCCTGCTATCTACATCATCATAAGATCATCTATGATATGAGTTACGAAATCTTTTTAAAATCACAAACAGCAACTGATGGGCGTGTCAGGGTTTATATAAGAAAATGAATTCGTTTCACAGCAGTGGTTCACTTGTGATTAAAAGCTTTACAAACGCTGGTTTGCAAATGATTCTCTTCTCAATATTGTTGTACGTCTTTGTTATTTTGCTACTCGTCTTCTAAAGTGAAACTTTGATTCACTGCTATAATTCTGTTTATTTTATATGCAACCATAAAAGTAGTTTTATATCGGGTCTGGAATCAGTTTATGATTTACATACTGTTAAAATATTCAGTGTAGACGAACGCGTAGCGCGTATATAGTAGCTACACAAGTAGTTTATTTATATAGACCATCATTTGTTACAACTTTGAAAGTATTTTTTCTTAAATTACGAAGGTTACCAGAGTAGCAGTTAAAAAATCATCCATCAACCATTTGTATACACATAAAAATCGAAGGAATCAATTAACAATCTCACTATAGGCAACATAAACTTGTTCATCAGCAGTAAGACAGGATCAGAAAAGAATTGACATGAATATTATTATTTAACCTTGTACGTAATCGCCTGATTTCAAGATAGCACTATCGAAAGAGCTCATGTAGAATTTTTCATTATCAATGACTGTTGAGTGTGTTGTAATTAGTTATACACGATTTCATTGAATATCTGTTTGAATTATAATAACGTATACTAATACCTCAGTGCGGTCCACTACTCCGAACATTCATCAATTCTTGATATATCCTTTTAGACTTCGCAACATTTTGAATCATAATGTGTAGACTATTCTCGTAATTCAGTGCTGAAACATTTAAACATCTATAGAAATGCTTGAAATTCAAAAACATTATCTACATCAAATTAACTATATTAGCATTTGATTACAGACTTGATAATCTGATTATTTAGATTTAACCCCTTTATGATGAATCAATTTCTGGCTTTTATTTAAGAGGTGATTTAATCCTGAATAATCTTGTAGTTATCATTAAAAGATGTTACAATGGATAAATAAAAACGATTGAAGGCATACATCTCTCTGAAAAAAGATATCATAAATTCTCAATAATTAGACTTTCCAATTTGTTTTTAAACTAGACTCCAACCTATTTGGGTTTTCTCGATAGATCTTTTCCAGATTTATCCAACACTTCTAGAAGCAAGATATATCCCAATAGCAATGTGGTTAGTCAATTTTGAAGTCGAGTCGAGACTTTTCCAACTTATATTGTAACGAAAAACTATTATCAGCATTCTGTTTCACTTCCTTCGCTTGATTATATCACAAATACGTGCACAGAACTTACTAAACTAAAGCGAATATTTATGCATGTCCTCAGAAGCAGAAATCCTATTGTCTTATTTCATTACGTTCACACCTTATACTTTTTTTTGTTGATGCCAGACATTCTCACGCAAAAGAACAAAGTACGATGCAAAGCCTTTCAACCACAATTTGTAGCATTCAAAATAAGCATAGAAACCATTAAATAGGCGCTCCGTCAGATTTCTTTTTCCAAATCATATTTTCAAACATGCAAAGAAATCTAATAAAAACAACAGCCTTCTCTATGAAACAAAAGAAGCAAATTTCGACACCCCATAATACATTCACTGACAATGATCAATAGTTTGACTTCATAATAAGTACTATTTATATGAAGAAAAAATTAAAATGAATTTCTAATTCTTTTTCCACAGTTGTATAACAATGGCTAAAGATTCCACATCCAATATGAAAAACAAAGAATCGGTTGAAGCGTCAGCCACCTATGATTTATGCTTACTCTTTGGTCTTTCAGGATTCCTGCTAGGTGGTATCGCTCTAGCTAGTGTAGTTACATTATTGCTGAAACAAGAATGTAAGTGTATCGTAATAGGCAATCATTATTATATCCTTGATAGAATAATGCCAAGTAGATATATTCTGTTATAAGAGGTACTTTTATTATTAATGTCTTCACTTTATTATACAGATAAGCTTTTTCTCACGCAACAGATTAGCAGCTCTGTCCACGAATTATAAGTTTTATTGTCAAAATTAGATATATTGAATCCTTTTTGAAATAAAAATTTCTCTTAACCAATTATACATATTGATAGTATTAATGCTTTTATGCCTTCAATTTCTTGTACTCATATAAGAAAATGAAGACGTATATGACGGACGGGTTTTGAGTAGTTGATCGATTTTCACAAGTTAGATCTTTCTAAGATAAATTTAGAATTATCGCTACTGTATCTCATTCGTTGCTATGTTTCGATGATTTAATTCAGCTTGTATGAGCGAATCGGCAATCATAACAACTGAAACAACAACAACAACAATGACGACGACTACAACAACGACAGACACAACAACAACAACCTCAACAACGACAACAACAACGACGACAACAACAACGACAACAACCAGCACTACTACAAGCACTAGCACAACGAGTGAGCGAATTTTTAGTTTAGTAGAACTAAAAGACTGTTTTGAAAGTCAAGTTTCATCACGAGTGCATACTAACTATCTTAACTTCATTTATTATTTAGCAATTTTAAGAATATACATGAATCTTGAGCTTATTCTAAAATTGCCTCCTAACTGTAGAAGATAGGTGCGATGAATTCATAAAAAAATACTGTTCTTATACGGAATAGTTTTGAATGGCAAAGAGTTGTATTTCAAGGCACGCTTTAGTTTGTTGAAACACACTTTTCCCAATGGCTACCTATTTGGGCTCGTTTAACTTCAATATAGAAACGTGATGGAAAGGTTATGAAGACGCTAGCATTAAATACTTTTAACTAATCGAGTTATCCTAATATAACTAGATGCATATTTAGTACGTCTCTATTGATGTTCATCAACTTTTTTCTGCACTAAAATTGAAATGAAACTTGTCTATTATATTAGAATGAGCCATGTTAAAATGAAAACTACTTAAATTATACTCAATAATGTCTAACCACAGGTGTACATCCCAGTCACTTTTTGTTTCACTAGCTACTGAGCATAAATCATGTTACAGAGAATAATAACGCTTTTCTCTCGATTAATCGACCTAGCATCATGAATGATTTTAGACATAATATTGGTAACACTTTATCAGAGAATTTCCAATATCCACTATTAGCTGTAGGAAAGACGATTCTACCAATATTGATTTATGCTTAGGAGCTGGGTATCAGAATCAAATCTTATTGGAAAAAACAGGAAATGCCAAAACTACAGATTTACGACGTCGCTTAGAGAAGTGCTGGGCACATTTGAGAAACTTATTGGTATACCATTTCCAATCGATTTCTATGTTTATTTTTGGTATGAAATCCACAATTTTGAACAAGTCTTTGCATTTAAGAAGCACTGATTTTCTGAAAAATTCTACACATCCACACTCTCATCCCAAGTTAAATTATACAAAGCCAGATTAAAATCGGTTGATTTCATGAACGAATTCTTGAGTCCTATACCCCTATTTGAAGTACAAAAATTGCATTGAGTGTCGCTCAACGTACTCTGTTTATGTTAGTTTCATATCAGAATATCGCGAGACGGGAAAGACGGTCTTCTCAAAGTCATTGATTCAAGCATTGACAAAAATATTTTAGCGTTTAAGATGAATACTAGATCAAATTCAAATGTATTCACAAATATTTGAAATAAAATAGAAAGAGGATGATCAATCAACTAATACTTTTATGGTTTCGTTGAAAAGCTTCTCTAGGACTAATGTATACGCACACGCCATCAATAATCTCTCTTTTAATTTATATTTAGCTACAACTCAAACGATAGCACCGAATGCTACTACAATGCAGTATTATTGTGGGTACTTCTCATCCTACACGCTTTGGCAACTATCTGGTAGTAGTGATATAGTGATGAATATTGATACAAGTAAATGTGGCTTTAATACAACTCCACTCTACTTCACTAGTATAGGTGGTACCAGTTCGCATTGGAGTACAGTTGGTTACACTGCTATTTATTTACCAACTAATAATTCATTCCAAATTTTTGCTCAATCGTTAAGCAGTGTGGCTAGTGCAACATTACTTAGTTGGGCTCAATTGTATTTCTGGGATGTGAACTGGATTGGTATTTCACTTTGAAAACTGTGATAAACATTATTTTGTTTCACTGATCATATTTTCATATTTTGATAAGAAGAAAGTCTCCATTGTAACCTACTCGGTACTAGTTTAACTTCATCTGTGTCACCAACCTACATGACGCTCTCATATACCTCATTAAATAAACATAGTTGAACAAGTGTTCGTATCTTTTTATTATTATTCTAACCATTAATTGATTGGCCAATAAATTCGCCACACATATCTATTAAACTTATATTAGGTCCCTGTGAACTCAGAAATACTAATATTAATTTTGCTCTAAAGTATTAAATGAATAGAGTTTGGTTCTTTGTATTAATCAATTGACAACGGTAGCATATCAATCCAATCCGAAGTCATCATCACATGCAAGTCGGACATGATATTTCGTCGATACAAAAATTAACATTAAAATAGTCAGAATATTTTCCACATGAAAATTATTTTCAATTTTCGTTTTTCAGATCATTTATGACAAAATTTATAGTAAAACAAAAAAATAGGCCGACTTGTTAGTATATTATTGTGTAATAGTGTGAAGAAGTCCAAAATAGTGAAACGTTTGCCTTGTTGTAATTAGCACTAGATCAGAAATTATTCATAGTTATTTTAATTAAAAACAGATCAACCCAGGTCGTTCCTGCCCGGCCGTAAACGGCCGTACACCAATCATTTACGTTGAAAAACGGCATTCGTTTACAGTGGCTGTTTACGGCAGTCATATACGACGTTTTACGGCGTATTACGTTAATCGTAAACAATGACCGTAAACTTTCGCCTTTTCCGACTACCGTAAAAATACGGAGAAAGTAAACGATGCTCGGATAATGTCGTCAAATATTGTAAACGATAGCTACTTACAGTGGCCGTTTACGACAGACATATACGACGTTTTACGGTGTACTACGTTAATCGTAATCAATGACCGTAAACGTTCGCCTTTAACGACTACCGTGAAAATACGGCGACTGTAGACGACGGTCATATACGAAGTCTTACGGGGTATTACGTTAATGGTAAACAGTGAACGTAAACGTTCGACTTTTGCAACTACCGTAAAAATACAGTGACTGTAAACGACATTCAGAATGTGCGATAACACGGGGAAACAAACTGATTTCAATAGGCGAAATCAATCGAAATCGTATGAAATCGGACGAAATCAATCGAAATCGTATCAAATCGGACGAAATCGATCGAAATCGAATGAAATCGGACGAAATCATCGAAATCAGCACAAATCATGGATATCACTCGAAATCATTGCAAAATCATGGAAATCATCAGAAAACAAAAGGGATTAGGGTGTGGGTGTGGGTGGATCTGGGTATAACTGTTATTTTCCGTTAATCCACATTCGGACTCCCAAACCCACACCCACGCTTTCAATATTTATCTTCGTTCTTAGTTATTCAATTCAGGGTTAGATTTAGAATCCGAAATCTGAAATCAGATCTATCTTCCATTCCACGTCGCGCAATCATTCACCTTTTTGTTTCGCTCGAGAACTTCTATATATAGGCAGATTTTTCTTCCCTTTAGTTAGTGAGTTCAGGGATAGATTAAAGATGCGAAACCAGATTTATCTTCGAGTTCTTGTCGTCGAATCTTCGTTTGACCACTTTCCCCATTCAAGTCAAGTAACATGTCCGCGATTCAGCTTGTTTTCCGGCTTTCCCTTAAATCCCTATTTATGTTCCAGCGAATTCCCACTCTCTCAGAAATCGCTTGATTTTCATGTCGAAAGGTAATGCGTTTTTGACCCAGAAATATAATCTTTCTCAAATCCAAGTGGGATCGTTTTGTGATCTTTTTTGAAATCTGAATGAGATACATTTCAAATCCAAGTGAAATCTGAATGAAATCCATTGCAAATCCAAGTGAATTCTTTTTGAAATCCAAATGAAATCTTTTTTGAAATCTGAATAAAATCTTTTAGAAATCTTTTAGAAATCTTTTTTGAAATCCAAATTAAATCTTTTTGAAATCTGAATGAAATCCATTTCGAATCCAAGTAAAATCTTTTGAAATCAAAATGAGATCTTTTTGAAATCTGAATAAAATCTTTTAGAAATCTGAATGAAATCCATTGCAAATCGAAATTAAATCTTTTTGAAATCCAAATCAAATCTTTTTGAAATCCAAATTAAATCTTTTGAAATCCAAATTAAATCTTTTTAAAATCCAAATTAAATCTTTTGAATTTCAAATTAAATCTTTTTAAAATCCAAATTAAATCTTTTGAATTCCAAATGAGATCTCTTTGAAATCTGAATGAAATCCATTTCAAATCTAAATGAAATCTTTTTGAAATCCGAATGAAATCGGTTTGATTTGCAGGTGAAATCATCGAGAATAACGAATAGAAAACGGCCGTTTACTTTGATGTACGGTAGTCGTGTTGGTCGTAAACGGCTGTATATGTTAATATACGGCGATTCTCGTTGTCGTAAACTGTCGTTTCGTTCAAAATACGACCGTGTCACGGCACTGTTTTTAACGTTTACGGTAGTTGGGTTCCACCGTTTACGGTAGGTGGGTTCCACCGTTTACGGTAGGTGGGTTCCACCGTTTACGGTAGGCGGGTTTCACCGTTTACGTCACGGTGGGTTACGGCCGTAATACGGGGCATACCAAACGGGTCATTTACGGCCCGTATACGGTCGTAACTCTGACGGTTACGGCCGTTTACGGCCACTGTAATGTTCGTCCTGGGAATAGATGCAAAGCAGATTTTTTTTCATTTAAATAACTTTTAAATACTTCTGAAATTTTCTAACTAGAAAAACGCCTACAGATAAATTATAGTTCGATAAAGTTTTATTTTTTGAAGCTGTTAGCATACAAGAATATTGATAAGAAATATGAAATATTTCTTTTTTTCTATCTTGAAGTAAAATAGATATGAAATCAATTTTACGCTTAAGCATTGTTTTACTATTAGCAAATAGAATATATTACTTCCATAATTTTTTTGTTCCCTCGCTTGTAGTATGATAAAATTTAAAAACAATTTCACTAAACGAATTCTTATTCTCGTTTATATTTTATTTCAATTAATATCTCTCTTATAGTGATTGGATTATATCTTTATTTTTATACAGAAACACAGAAAATCATCTTTGAAAACAAAGTTTAATTTCGCAAGATATAAAAAATACACTGGACCTACGTTTCGTTTTGGAAGATNGTTACGTGCATTTTGGCCCACGGAATTTTCGGGCCGGACTTTCGGACCAATTTTATACAAATTCATTAAACTCTGAGAAAAACACGAATTTTTTTGAAAATTGGTTTTTAGATTTTTTTTTAGTATCGAGCAAAGCGTCGTAGTGCCGAGCGAAGTGACGTAGTGCGGAGCAAAGCGACATAGTGCTGAGCGAAGTAAAATAGTGTTTAAAACAGCACTTCTATTATTATAGAACATAGTATGGCGTTTTAAGATACATATCGTTTATCCACAACAAGCACGAACGAATCTAGTGTAATCTCAATATTGACTTAAGGATGCACATTTTTTAGTTTTATTTTAGATGTAGAATTCATTATTGCTGGTATATTTTTGGAATTTGTTGAGATGTATATTAGGTATAAATTCTTTTTTTAAATTTCAACTAGTTTTTCTTCTATGGAATGAAAAACGCCGCTTCGCTCGGCACTACGTCACTTCGCTCAGCACTACAACGCTTTGCTCGGCACTAAAAAAATCTAGAAACCAATTTTCAAAAAAATTCGTTTTTTTCTTAGAGTTTAATGAATTTGTATAAAATTGGTCCGAAATTCCGTGGGCCGAAATTCCGGTCTTCCGTTTCACTTACGAAACCGCAATCTCAGCATAAGATTAACTGTTGGATTCCGCATATCACTATCAGAACAACTTTTAACCATGCAACACGATATACAGTACAGACTGTTCCTGATATACGGTGATATGGCTTATTCATTTCACGTTCAAAATAAACCATTTCTATTAAAGATATCCACCTCTCCTTGAGAAATTCCCTGCATAGTGAAAAAAAAAAAATCTTGACTGTAGATAATTTATCGATTTCTCCTTGACAGTTTTAAACTTCTGCTGTAATGGGGGGATATCGTTGATATATTTCCGCTTGAAACTAAACCATATCTGCTGCAAAATATCCATTTCTCCTTGAGAAATTCTCTTTATAGTGAAAAAAAATAAATCTTTTCTGTAGATAATTTATCGATTTCTCCTTGACTTTGTTAGGGGTAAAGTATTTCTGATGGTTATTGCACTATTTTACGATTTTGCGGGATATTGTCCACCTCTCTCCGCTATTCACGGATACTGTTATTATGTTAAATTATAAATGACTGTGTGATAAAAACATGCATCCTTTTTTAAACCTATATTTAGAAATAATTAAGAATGACACTTTTTGTTTTTTAAATAAAGTTCACTAATAACATAAATGGAATGCTTCTAATCGCTTGCATCTACTGTATGCATCTTTCTGTTGAAAAGAAGCCGCTCGGTAGAGTGCAGCCTGCCTTTTATGCGATATTCTCAGAGATGATTTCACGCATTTTTCAAATGTAAGTTCTATGAATTATATCATATCAATAAACGAAAATGAAGCATCGATCGAATTGAAATATTCTCATTTGAGGTTGCTATATGCATTGCCTATACATTTGAATGAATAGATTAGTTAACAACCGAATTTTCTTTGTATCTTATCAATTTTGTCACAAAGAATTATTGAATTGTAAAATCTCGTTTCATTACATTTCAAAGTATGACTATCAAACTTTATTATGTAGTAAATGATTCTTGAAAGTGTGAAGTGTCTGACGCCTATTTGAAGAAAAATCGCATTCATTTGGTTATCAAGTATTAGTATGATATTTACAGCTATGCATAATCACACTGTTAATCCAGTCTTCCAAATCATATCTTCTGATAGGTGATATTGTAGACATGGCAATAGCACGTCAGTATATAAGAGTACATCGGGTCGACTAAATATCATTCGTATATATAAGCGTGAATAAATAATTTTTTTTTATTCGTGTTATTATAGTCTATGCGAAGAAAAGATCATTTTTTTTTCTATACGCTTCTTCTCTTTTGTCAATAATAGCGTGTTGTGTTTCTCAGTTTTCACGTAGATTTTCATCAAATATCAAAGTTCACAGTCGTAAAAATCGTGTCTATAAACACGAAGAAAATGTACCAAGCTGATAACAATAAAAAAAAATGATAACGATATTGAATGAATTTTTTTTTTGTAGCTTTAGATCGTTTCAGTTGTTAAGAAAGGTGACATTTATTTGTGTTCTTTTAGCATGTATAAGATGAGTCCATTAATGTTCTTATTAATTTTTATTGCCAATATTCATACTATTCTAACTGCACCTCCATCATTAACAAGTTATGATGATAAAGTAAATGCTTTATTAAGTAAAATGACCGACGAAGAAAAAGCTGGTCAAATGACACAAATAACAATAAATCTTATATTAAAAGATGCAAGTAAACCATGGGACCAAATTGAAGTTGATCCTGCGAAATTAGCTACAGCTATACAAGATTATAAAGTTGGTTCGATTTTGAATGTAGCTGAAACCGGTGCTTATTCACTCGCTAAATGGCATGATATTATAGAAAAAGTACAAGACGAAGCACAACGATCTCGTTTACAGATTCCAATTTTATACGGTATTGATTCCATACATGGTGCTAATTATATTCGAGATAGTGTTTTATTTCCGCAAGCAACTGGTCTTGCTGCAACATTCAATACAACTTTAGCACATGAACTTGGCCGGATAGTTGCACATCAAACACGAGCAGCTGGAATTACATGGAATTTTCATCCACAAGTTGATATTGGGTATGTGTTTGATTTCATACATATTGCTTTATTTCGTTGCCTATAACGTATATTTAGTCGTCAAAAATTATGGCCACGTTTATGGGAAACATTTGGTGAAGATGTCAAACTTGTTAAAGATATGGGTCGGGCATATACGGAAGGCATGCAAGGCGATGATTTAACATCACGTGAAAGCGTTGCTGCTTGTCTTAAACATTATGTTGGCTATGGATTACCGTTGACTGGTCGCGATCGAACACCAGCATGGATTGATGAACGACATATGCTTGAATACTTTCTACCACCATTTGAAGAAAGCATTCGTGCTGGTGCTGTTTCAGTTATGATTAATTCTGGTGAAGTGAATGGTATTCCTGGTCATGCGAATTATCATTTATTAACTGAAGTTCTTAAAGAAAAATATCAATTTCACGGATTTACTGTTTCCGATTGGGTAAATATTTCTAAATAGTTAATTAGTTTGAAAATAATGAGCAGCGTTGATTGTTATAGGAAGATATTAAACGTCTTCATACTCGAGAACAGACAGCTGCTACAGAAAAAGAAGCTGTTCGTCAAGCAGTCATGGCTGGTGTTGATATGAGCATGGTACCATTTGATTTTTCATTTTATAATCTAACACTTGAATGTGTAAAAGATGGTTCAATACCACGATCACGTTTAGATGATGCTGTACGTCGTATTCTTCGTGTTAAATACGCATTAGGTAAACATTTTTGAATTTGATAATTTTTCTTTTTGTCGCTATGCGTTTCTCCTATCTGAATAGGCTTATTCGATGGAAGAAATGGATGGCCTGATAGTTCAGCGCTTGCTACTTTTAATAAACCTGAATATGATGAAACTAATCTTCAAGCAGCACGTGAAGGAATTACTTTACTTAAAAATAGTGGAGATATTTTACCACTACAGAATTCAGCAATCACTACAACAAATAAAGTAATAGTCACTGGTCCAACATCGAATGTTCTTACATCACTCAATGGTGGCTGGTCGTATACGTGGCAAGGAAATGATGAATCGATTTATCCACAAAATTTAAGAAGTAAAACAATTCTTGAATCCCTCCGAACACGTTTAGGAGCAACAAGAATTGAATATTACAATAGTTCATCGTTTGATCAATTATTTGATATTAGTGACTTATTAAATGCTGCACCATCTGCTAGCTATATAGTAGTATGTCTCGGTGAACAAGCCTATACAGAAACACCAGGAAATATCAATGATTTGACATTAGATGATGCTCAATTACGATTAGTTGAACAAATCAGAAATCGTACACAAATACCAATCATTACTGTACTTGTTCAAGGGCGACCGAGAATTATTCGTCGTATTGTTGATTTATCATCGGCTATCATTATGATGTATTTACCGGGCATGGAAGGGTACGGTAGAAAAGATTTCTGTGAATTTTAGATTTTGCAATAATGAATGTTTACTTTTTGATTAGAGGTCGAGCACTTGCCGATATCTTACTTGGTGATTACAATCCAAGTGGACGTTTACCAATAACTTATCCAAAATATAATCATCATCTATCAACATATGATTTTAAACTGGCTGAAAACAGAGTTGGTAATTTTATCGATGTAGAATTTGAATTCGGACATGGATTAAGTTATACAACATTTGATTATTCAAATTTTAATGTCGCACCGACAATTGAATGGAATGATCAATTAACTATTACGTTGGATGTACGTAATAGCGGCACAAGACAAGGTGCTCATACAGTACTTTTATATGTTTCCGATCTGTATCGAACAGTGACACCACCCAATAAGGAATTGAAAGGCTATAAAAAATTATCATTAGAAGCAGGTCAACAAACACAAATTCAATTTACTCTTCGTCGTGATGATTTATCTTTCATTGGGATTGATCTAACTCGGCAAACTGAACCTGGTATTTTCACAGTGACTGTTGGTAGTTTCGCAACTAATTTTACATTAGCTGCCGGACAAACTCCTACCAATTCAGTATCAGCATTTATGCAAGTCAACCACAGTTATTGGATTTATTTTATTCACATCTTTGCTTTTGTCATGGTCAAACTCATATAAAGGACGTCATGTGCTTTTTGCTTCTATATTTTATAGCTCTAGCATACATTTAACTAATCGCGCAAGAATAACAACATCTTTTTTTTCTGATTTCTAATAAATTCCTTCCACTCGTAATCATCGATATTCGAATTAAGAAACAATAATGAAATACATATCAGTACTTTTGCCATAACACTTATTTTGTTGCGAGTGATGACAAGATCGTTGCTGATCGAACTGTTAATCTTAAATTCACTTGGAATTTTTTTCTTCTTTGCTAGGATTCGAATACTTTACAAATTGAAAAACAATTATTTGGACAGTATATCTTCTCGTAGCAACTGCCTTGACTTTATTTTATCTTGGATGTTAGTATCGAAATTTTCTCTTTTTTATTACACATAAAACTATTTACGGGATACAATTGTTTTATAAATAGAATTGCCGTCATCGTTTCAAACAACGATGTAAATGATGTTGTATTTCATTCAATCATTGAAATATAAGCAGTTTAATATTCAATAAATAGTGAGCGATCAATTCCGAAGATATACGAACTATATTGCAATACATTCATCTTGCCAAGGAAGGTTTATCAGTGTATAGTGTAGGCTATCATGAGCAATGGATAGGATGAAAATAAATACAACCAATAGCTGCTGAAATCCTGATTTTTTGAAAGAATTTTTCTCGCAGAAGGATTTGATCTCCGTGACAGTACGAACAATTATGGCAACGAAAATCTTTTATTGAGAAAATTTTTGATTTTCTCTATTGCCGCTATTTTCATTTGAGATAGTGATGTTTTCAGTTTAAAATAAATTCACCAAAAAAAAAACCTCGAACTTTCAAAATAAACTATTCGAATCGAAATTTGAAAGTGAAATTTCCTCGGCGTTATTAAAAGAATTGCAACGTTCTTCTAGAAATAGTATATTTTGGCCATAGTAGTTTATGAGTTCGAACAATACTCATGATACTTACAGCTGATTAAAACCTAGATGAAAGCACGCAGTTATGATTTGACATTTTGAAAGGTTCCCTTATTAGATATGCATACAAGAGTTTGATGATGATTCACTGTCATTCTTATTAATCATCATCAATTTAATAGATAGATTTTCACTCTCAGGTCGAACAGACACGGTCGTTTACGACCGTATACGGTGAAATACATGTCGCAGTATTACGATCGTGTATTTTCGTGTCGTGTACGGGGACAAACGGAGCGTATACGACCGGTTACGATCGTATACGGACTCCGTAATCTTCGACCTGGGCGGCTAGCAATGGCATTAAATTTGGATTAAATGGTAGTCGATTAAAATGGAAATTATCAATCCGATTCCGGATTGGATTTTGTTGCACAATAATTTAATTGGAATCCGCGGGTTTCTTTCACTGCGCGAACGTATGATAGATGTAAGTAAAAGCTGACATAAAAACTTCAAGATTGGTTAGATTTCAAACAAATAGATATTATTTTACCTAACGTAACGTAAGACAACTTCCTAATGACGAAGCAAAAATAGAGAAACCAATAGCAATAAAGAGTAATGAAAATTGAGTCATTTTGATTATTTTTTTACTTATTCATAATGGTTGGTTTATTTCTTTAGAACTCTGTTTCATAAAGATCATAGTTCATGGATTACGTTTTATTTATTTTTATTTTGATAATTGGGATTATCATAAAAAAATTATGTACTAAAGCTATTAATCCATATCAATTTACAAAAGTTCGTCTTTGGGCTGAAGAAGGAAACTATTTCAATTTCTGTGGTCATCCAGTCTTCTATTATGATTCTATTGTACGTGATCGGTCAGCTATGTCGAAACCAGCTTTATTGTTACTGCATGGATATCCAACATCATCTATAGATTGGATATATATGCGAGATGAATTAGAAAAAAGGTTTCATATAATAGCACCTGATTACATTGGTTATGGGCTCTCGGCTAAGCCAATATTATTTTCTTACACGATATTATCACAAGTAAATATGCTTGAGAAATTGATGCGTTCATTAAAACTAAATCAATTCCATATCATGGCTCATGATGTAGGCGTTTCAATGGCTCAAGAAATTTTAGCGAGACAGATTGACGATAGAAAATATATAATTCAATCAGTAGTATTTCTTAATGGTGGTTTATTTCCTGAAAGTCATCGACCATTTTTTATCATGAAAATGTTGAAAAAAGATATTCTTGGAGCAATCATTCAAAACATTGCTCCTCTCTCCGTATTTGCTTCAGGAATTAATCGAGTTTTTGGTCCATCAACGAAACGTAGTAAACTCGAATTAGATGAAATGACTCATCTATTATTTTACAATGCTCCATATAATCTAATACAGAGATTACAATGTTATCTTAATGAACGAGTTAAACACAGAGATCGATGGGTTAATGCAATGAATAAAGTACAATTATTTAAAGAAAACCCTATCTCTATTAGACTAATAAATGGCCCCATTGATCCAATTAGTGGAAAACATATGGCTCATAGATATCGACAACTTATTTTGAATCCTGATACTTGTCTGCTAGATGCCCACATTGGTCATTATCCAAATTTAGAAGATCCAGCAAATACACTGAAATATTTTTTTGATTTTCATAACTCACTTTAGCCTGGATTGAGATTTGTTTAGCAATAAAGAAAAAGAGCAAAGAGAAACATTTTCACATAGACAAAGATATTTATTTTTCGAACAAAATATACAAAAATTAATCACTAAATCGACTTCGTTTTGTTGTTGCTGTTGAATCAGACTTATTTGCCTGTCCAGCTCGCTTTTGTGTTACCGAACTAGGCACAGCTACTGAATGATTTTTAAGGCCAGTATCTGTCGCTGCGACCTATACAAGAAATTTTCAAAACGAAGTTATGAAATTGACAAGATTTTTTTAGATCGAAATTCATACAAAACTTGATTTGAATTGAGATTGAAATGCTGCTTTCATAGCTGAATTTCTACTTGTACCAGAGGTTGCCGCCGAACCTCCACGCCAATCTGTCATAGGGCCAATTGCAGGTGTCTACAAAAGCAGAGGCGCAACATATAGAGACGAAGTCGTAACAGCTTACGTTTTTCGTTGATGGCCCATTGTAATCAAAAGGATTGGAAGAGTCAACAACAGCTACCGATGTTGATGATGATGATCCACTATGTGAACCAAAGCCAGGTCGTTCTCGTTGTACACGATTTCCAAGAGCAAAATGTTTTCCACCACCACCACCACCACCACCATGTCGACTTCGAGTATTAGCAAAATGGCTAATCTAAAAATTCAAAGATATATCAATCGTACAGTAATTCCCAGTCGCTCTTCAAACTTACTTGCATAGCCATATTGAATAAGTCATCCGAAACAACTTGATTTGCATTTTCTAAATTTCTCACAAGATTTGGTGCGAATTCTTTATCTGCTGGTGTTAACAATGTATAGGCTGTTCCTTTTTCACCAGCGCGTCCTGTTCGACCAATTCGATGCGTATGTGTATCAATATCACGTGCGACATCATAATTAACTACCGTTCGTATTGACGGTATATCAAGACCACGTGCTAATGAGTTACAAAAACAAAATGAACTATTGAATTAAAAGAAAAATCCACAGACCAGCTACATCGGTAGCAACTAAAATTGGTACATCTCGTTTTTTAAATTCATTGATGACTTGTGTACGATCGAATTGTGCCATATCACCATGTATAAGACCAGCTAAAACAAAGTATCCAGATGGTTCGATTATAATACGTTTTTTTGAAATTGTTTACCAGTGAAACCATTTTCTTTAAGATTTTTTGCTAATTCTGCACAATTATCTTTTCGTGTGACGAAAATGAGAACTTTTCCTACTGAACAAACAAAAGATAAAACAATTAATCAACAAAAAAGAATTTAATTAAATACACACTTACACACAGTAAATTCAACCAATTTAGATAAAAGCCATGCCCATTTGCTTGAACCATTTTGCATAATCTGAACTATTTGAAGAATATCTTGATTAGCCTATTGAAGAAGATTAATCGAATAGTTCATATTATTGAAATTCAACTTACTTCACCAACTTCACCTTGAACAATACGAACAGGATCGGTAAGAATATCTCGTGCTAAGAAGAAAACAAAATCGCTTATAAATAAAAACTAGTGTTTAAAGAACAATCAAACCTAATCTTTCAACTTTTTTCTTAAATGTTGCACTAAACAATAAACACTGTCGATCAGGTCGTACGTGATCAGCAATCGAACGAACTTGTGGTTCCTTTCAAATACATTCATCAAGAATAGTAATTACATAAATCCACCATGTTAAAACTTACAAAACCCATATCAAACATTCGATCAGCTTCATCGAAAACTAGATATGTAACACGATTTAAATTTGTACCTTTCTTTTTAACTAAATCAATCAGGCGGCCCTAATAAATAAATTTCAATAAATCAAATTTCAAATATTTCCGCCCGCATTTTCCTTACAGGTGTACAAACAAGTATTTCGCATCCTTCTTTACAAGCCACTATTTGTTCATGCATATTTCCACCACCAAATGCGCATGCCGAATTTATATTATACGGTTTTCCATATTTTTTACATTCGAGATGAATCTGTTGAGCTAATTCACGTGTTGGTGCGCAAATTAAAACAATTGGACCATCATCTACTTGAAGTTGATCCTAGTCGAATAGAAATATTAATTTTATTAAACAGCCGATAGATAAACTACTTGAGCCATAATATGAACAATAGCTGGCCAAACAAATGCAGCAGTTTTTCCACTACCAGTTTTAGCAATACCAATTATATCACGTCCACTTAATGCACTTGGAATGGCCTAACAAGAAAATGCCGATAATAAAAATGATATTTGAAATGAATAGTATCTACTTGTGTTTGAATAGGTGTCGGTGTCGCGAATTCAGATTTACGGAGTGTTTTCATCAAACGTTCGTCGAAGCCAAAATGAGCAAAACTAACCACTGGACTAGGAATATTTGCACCACGAACCTAGAATAAATTTCTATGAATATGTTTTAATGAAAATAAAAGGAGCTGATAGTCTTTACGTTAACACCAAGCTTATGTCTTAAATCGTTGACTTGTTGATTCGATAGATTACGAATATCTTCATGTTCAACATAAAAATTCTTTTCGAACGGTGCATATTGAATTGTAGAATGATCAATAGGAGGAAGAGGATCAATATGCTGTGGGAAAAAAATCGATTAATTAATCATAGATTTGTTTTTCATCCTACATACTTTTGATTTCTCCGGAGCAATTAAATTACCTGATAAAATAAATGCGAATAAAAAATGCGATTGAAAAAAAAATAGAAAAGATACCATCATCATCATATTGTAATTCCCGATCTTCGTCATCGTCATCTCCGATTGGTAAACCAGCATTTGGATTTTCTTCAAGCCAACGAAAATATGATTCCTGATCATCTTCTTTGTCAATATCTTCGCGTACTCCTCTAAATTAATTTTACTGCAAATATATCCTGATATCGTAGTCGAACAAACTTTTCTTGTTTCTTTTCTTTTTTCTTGCCAACTGCTTCTAAATCTTTTTTAGCTTGATTATTATTTGCTTTCATAAATTGTTCAAGTGGATCGTCCTCCTCGTCATCTTCCTCTTCTTCTTTTTGTTCTGCTTGATAACTGGGACTGCCTGGTGCAGGTAGATAATCTAAATCGTCATTTAATTTTTTAGCAGCAGCTGCCTTCGTTTTACGGTGTGATTCATCATCAAGATCATCAGATTCAAAATAGCTATTTATTAATAATAGAAAAACAAACTAATTGTAGAGTTGAAATAGACGCATACTCTTGTTCAGTACGATGTGCTTGTATAACAACATCAGTTTTTCTAACATTCGCACGCAAACCGCTTGGTAAACTAGATTGAAAAAAATAGCAGCTATAGGTGAAATGAATGAAGAATTCTTACGGAAAGAGTTGTTGTAGTTTTGGATCAACAGGTTTATTATTTGATGACATTATTTAAGGAAACAAATTTTTTTGAGAATTAAGAAATACAGAAAATTAGTTTGATTCAAAAAAAGTATGCGATTCGTCAAAACATAAATCTAGTCGGAACGAACAAAAATTTTTGTTGTGATGTCGCTATACGATTGCAGTACATAGTATAGATTGGTAAAGTTGTATTTAAAAACTAGTACAATTCAGGAATAATACCATTGAGGGACGTTTTCGTTAACATAATTAAATAGAAAACCTTGCAGTGTCTCCCATTTTGTAAGTCGCAAATGATGGATAGGTGATACAATATTTTGAATTAATCTATGAGAAAACTTATGTACCTTTTAATTCAAAAAGCTATTCAGATTATTATTGTTGAGAATAAACTCAACTGTGCCCTTTAACTTTAAGTTTTTATCTAATGAAGATGTATTTCCAATAATAATATTGAGTTTTGAAATTTCCACAAATATTTTTCTAAGAAACTCAAATTTTTCTTTTTATTTAAATAAATAGAAACTACTGATACCATCCAATGATATTTCTAAGAGCCAAATGATTGCATTAAACATTCACTGAGAAGCGGTTCATTTCAAATACTTTAATAATTTACTAAGAAAATCTGAGCACAGATAGTAATTATCTCTCAAGTTCACTTGATCTGAAATTTCATTTGCCTCGTTTACATTGTAAAATACAAACACATTCATAATGGATATTTTCCATCTCTATCTTCCAACAGCTTCCAAGACAAGAAGCAACAGCATCAGCAGTGAACAGAAAATGCATGGGAAAACTGGGTTTGCTGTGAACACACATTAGTCAAACCATGAAGAACATTGAGAACTCTTTCAAAAATATATCCAAACGTTCTGATTTCGCTATATTTCTCTTTCCTCTAGCATAAATTTTCTTGACACAGCCTAGTAGAAACGACCACAAAAATAAATAATGAACCTACTCAGTTACATAGCCTATTTATTCGACAGATGAATAATTGATGTCCGAATAACTATGCATTTGACGTCTTTGTCTTCTAATCGATTGTGTATACAAACATACTACATGTCATGTTGTAATTTCTGTTATTCAGATCAAAGATATATCAGACATACAATATAATTTGCGGGCAGATGCTCTTCATCTATGTGCACACGTATGTCCGGTTTTCAAAACAAAATGTTAACAACATTTTCTATTTCTTTTCATTTTGACCATATTCCGTATTCATGTTCTTTTTACTTCTATCATTAAAACAAAAAAACCTCGCCGCTTCCTTTTCCTAATGTGATTCTATCACCAGTGCTCATCTCAATTTCAAGAGCAAAGCGAAGAAGTGCATAATCACCATCGATAATCTCTCTGATTCAATAAAATAAGGCAAAATATAAACATAATCTTTTTTTTCTGTGTTAGAGGAGACGAGAATAAAGAGAATGATAATCGTCTAACTAAAAGAACAGAAAGAAGCATAGACATCAAACACGAGTCTTAAACAAACAAACATCCGTCCGTCCATGCCTTGATTCTTATCAATTGTTAACCGGTACCCGCATTCTCATTGGATTGCAAAGCGTATTCGTTCTCAATGTGTGAAAATTTTCTCGAATACTCCCTCGTATGTCAAACATGCACCACTAGATATAATTGTGACGTACACAGCCGAGCAACCGTGACATCAAAACAAGTGTGAAAGTACAACCCATCAAACACAAAAGAAAGAGACAGCGACGATGAGTATTATGCGAAATTATCTGAATGGCGTATGAAAACATTCTTCATCATCGATTGGCAGCCAATCAGATGAGTTTTACAAATGTCGATAGCGAGGAGAGACACAGAAAAAAGACGATGAAAAGATTCTTTTTTTCCTCAATCATTGGATAGAACAGAAGAAATAAATGTACACGGTATCTATCTGCCAAGAAAAGACGAGCAACTAACCAGCACAATGCTACGAGTCAACCAGTGAACACTCACATCTTAATTGATAATAAACAGACCTGCCCTTCGTGAAAAACCAGAGACTAAAACTATTCGACTAGTCAAATAGTATAATTACTGATTGAAATATGTTTACTGCAACGAATGATTACTTCATCTCACCATCACCCGCTTCACCATCGGGTCTAGTATTCAATCGACAACATCATCATTCCCGTTATCACCCATACGATCGAGTATCAGCATCTTATTATCCAACTAATGAACTCGAAACCTATTCATACGAAAACAATAAGAACAATTCAACAACAGCAAACTACGATCATTCAATCGCATCATATGATTATAATCTTGCTTGGACAACGCCTTGTTCTTCTGTTGACAGCGAAATCAATATCGAAGGACAAAGACCCGTCGAACTACAAGTCGCACGACCAGGTAGAGTAAAGTTTGTCCATTATTTGGAGTACAGAGAAATTTTTAACACATTCAAAGGGTCTTCTTCTTGCTTCAAACGACGTGTATCAGCTAATAAAAAAGAACGGCGTCGTACACAATCGATAAATACTGCATTCTCCGATCTACGTACAGCAATACCGAATGTTCAAGCCGACACAAAATTATCTAAAATCAAAACTCTAAAATTAGCTACGAAATATATTGAATATTTAATGGATATTCTATCGAAAGATGATCCATCAGCAATGCCGGGTGCCTTCAAAGCTGAAATCATTAAAACCAGAAGAGATTATCGTGACGTAATGAAGGTAAACATTTTCTGAAACTTCTCACGAGAAGAGAAATCTTAATCTTTTTCCTTTTTAGTTCGATAATTCAGTAGGATCACGTAAAATGAAAGGACGAACAGGTTGGCCACAAGCAGTTTGGCAGTCGGAATTGAATCGAAATGAAAATATTAATCAATATCATTCAACGAATGATAAAATGCTTTTATCATCACCCCACGCGCCTCACTTACTTTTGGATGCATCAACGGGAAGTCTATCGAATTCTCCGACAATTTCACATAGTAGCTCATCATCAAGTGCAAAAATGAACAAATCTCGTACATATGAGAAGCCATACTCAAGAAAATAACGAAGCGAAAAACAATAAGCGTGATAACTAAACAGGATAAAAAATGCCGTCACGTCGTTCGTTTTTTCTTCTTCTTCTTCTTCTTGTGCATACCGGTGTTGTACATAGATTTAATCGTTTGTGTGTGTAATAATGTTCTGACTTTAAGAAATACATATAGAAAGTAAATGACTTCATTCAAAGTCATTTGAATGCACTCAAGACGTATCTAAACGTTTTATCTGTTTAAAATTAATCGAGCGAAGACGATTTTTAAACTCATCAACGATATAAATTGCTCTAGGTGAAAAAATTCAACAGAGGCTATTTTATTTTTAAGCCCTTGGACTTAATCGAATGATGTAATCACTTGATGGATTTTTTTCGTTTGTAAATTAGTAAATAATCATTTGCTGCTATGTGTACACAAGTATCAAGGGAAAGAAGATGTCGAGAAATATGAGCACTATCTGTTTTACTTCTTCAACATCGCGTGAGATGATGGCGAATTATAATCGATTTGTGTGTGTGTGTGCAGTGAGTTCGCTACATATTGACAGTGTTCATATGGGACATGCTGCCAACATGGTTGTCCATATATTAATAAGTAAATAAATGCTCGTGTTAGTTTTTCTGTATTTACAGTCGATTTGAATGCATGAAAATGTTGAACTAATTGAAAAGTCTAGGAGGGACAAATGTGTCAAATTAAATTGAATTGTTTATTTCGAGTAGAAGCACAAATAAAATCTTTTGTAAGGAAATAGTTAATCAATTATTCTTCTCCTTCTCTTAAAGTTCTTTTTACATCAACAAAAGAAAGATGAGATCTGTTCAATATCAATCATTTCGATCAACAAGGAAGAAGAGAGAGAAATAGAAACAGAAGCTAATTATCATTTGATCTTATTGTCTATTCATAGAGAATGAATAAGATTTGATCTGTATCAAATTTAAAAGGTAAGATAGATAGAGTCAATTCTTTTGTATTGTTTATTGAGATATCAAAATATTGCAATGCTCGATTTCAGTAAAGCGAACATCTATATTAATGTCAAAGATGAGAATGACGTACGTTTACCGTATGAATAGTAGCGATGATGATGATGAATAGGTTTTAAGGACACGTAGAAATAAATGGACGCGTGCTCTGACAAGATGATTATTGATGACGAGTACGAGTATCGCTAATGGAGTGAACATGAGTGACATCTAATCAGGCTCTTACATTTATCTATAGTAGTTGTAGTCGAGAAAAATTGGAGAAACAGCTTGCTCGACAACGATAGGTAGGGATTGAGATGAGTAATATCAAAATTTTATCTTGTAGTCTAAATACAGCAAACACAACAGATAAAAATATGATTGATGCACACTCGACTGAAATTAATACTTCAGAGTGAGATCTGCAAAGTTTTACCATTCTAAATATGCGTAATTTAAAAAATCGGATATCGAGATGGCTTTATTGTGTCAAGTGATATTCAATGAATTATTCCATGAAAGAATGAATCAGTGTATGGAAATCGTCATAGAATCAATGAATATATTTAAGTTAAAAAAGTTTGTCCGTAGAATCTTATTCGGCATAGCGATTTATAGTTTCTATATCATCTCCAATTGCGTTTACATAGAATTCAGATGCATTATACTGATGTACAGTTGGAATTATAGTATTTGTTTATTGTAATAGTACGAGTGAAATCGATGAAATTATGAAATCCAATAAGAAATTCTTTTCGTAAAAATATTTAATCAGAACACTTATATCGAATGCAATATTCCACGAGTTTTCATAACATGCTCAATATGAGCTCAACGATTTCATTGAAAAATTTATAAATAAAGAAAGAATGGCAAATCTTGAAAGAAATAAGTTGCTGATTCTCGAATTTTACATATGCCTGCTCATATTAAAAGAAAATATTGTGTCATCAACTTAGATTCTTTAATTACAAAAACACCACATGTAAAACTCGTTTTTGCCTATACTTTGAATTTTTTGTCGTTCTCGTCGGTTTGTCTCTGTTCATATTCTATCACAAGAAACTGTTTATTTAAAAAATATACCAGACTCATAAGAATAAAGGTCATTGCAGTCGATATCATTTTCTCAATCATAACAAAAGTGGTATTTTGCGTTCATAATTATGAAAATAATGATATTTTTCATTATCATCAAATAGATTTTTTTTCTTCTTTTTCGATGCATGTCAAATTCTAAACAATACGTAAGAAATTATAGTCAGTCAGCAAGATTAATATCTGTCGTTGATTGAAGGAATAAGAAGAGCATGAATGAGAAACATAGCAGTAAGAAATCAAAGGTGATTGTTTGTTCGATTATGAAATAAAAAACCTAGGAAACCGGTTAATTTTTTTTCGAGTGAGATTTTGGCAACATATTGCAATAGATTGATTATAACTGTTACTCTATCACGATACTTAAGAACAGCAAGTAAATCTATAAATAGTTCGCTTAAATCAATAACAATTCCTCTAGGCTACTGTTCCAAAACACTATAAAAAAGAAATAACAAATAAGACATGAGATTAATTCGCCAAGCTGACATTACAGAAGTGATGATTCATGCTCAGCTCTACAATCGTTGAAAGTGTCATTCCTAATTACTAAGGTTTTTTAATCGGGCGCAAAAGGGTCACGAAAAATCTCCTTTTCTCTATATTTATATATATTAAAAATACTTTCATAACGATTTTTCTTCTAATCATATTTCATTACAATCTTATCTGAAAGTTTTTACTGATTATTAGTTCTCTAGTGATGTTGGTATTTGAAATATTAACGAAAACAAAACTGACGTTGATGGTCCCTTTAACTCTATTTTTTTGTCGCTGTGCTGCTTGTATGGTACATACTTTAGTTGTGCATCAATGAATTCACGTTTCAATATCAGAAGGCTATTTTTTCTAGAATTTCTGATGTGATTATCTTTTCTTGAGAAAATTCTGTTTTGACGAAAGAATTTTAATAAGTATGTTAACATCAAACCTTCTGATAATACTATTTTCTTCTACACAATACGAACTGATATTGAATGTCACAGAAGATGTGCTTTTATTTGTATGCGCTATTAAACAGAGGCTCCACGAGAACGAAATTCTGTCATGAATCCTTTTCGGTAGTGCACATCTTTGTTATTCTCCCTTTTTAAAGATATAATTAGCATAAAATATCTTCATATTTGCTCCTACAGGCTGCGAGTAAGAATAGCGATGAGGATGATTCTAGGTGCGCTAAAGAATTTTATCATGGGCATCAGAATCTGTCTCTTCTTCGTTAATAATCACACCAACATTCATACATAAATATAATTCTATAGAATTTTCTTTCGATATGTTTTTTTCATATCTACTTTTTTTTACGTATGTCAATAGTTTTAAATCGATGACTTCGAAGGAATAGAATTTTACGAAAAGAAATACCGTCTCGCCAACCTAAGAATATGTTCTTTTTTCAGTTTGTGTTACCCAGCTATTCGAAAAGCAAATCAGTGCATTCATCCTTTTGTTATTTCTAGTCTTAAATAAATGTGGAAACATCGGATCCGCATCCGATTGTTATGTGTACCGTCGATTTATACATGTTTTGAATAATTCTGAGAAAAAAATCCCTGTACCCCCCCCCTCCTCAGGGATGGTCTGGTCAGTAATAATAATTTTTTCGATAACTCAGCCATTTATTGACGGATCCTTCTCATCTTCGAACTCGACTGAGATATTGATGAGAGCATTCTGTGTACAAAATTTCAAGACAATTGGATGAGGCTTTCAAGAGTTATCGTGTTAACGGTCGGGCACACTGACCGAATCTAGAGTGTACTCGCTTTTTGAGTACACAAAAACGTCGCAGCTCATCACGAAACCATTGACTTTAGGCTAGGGTCTATAGTTAAAAGATGTTTCAGTTTTGAAAAATTATAAAAGCAACATTCTCACGCGTACAGGAGAGTTTTTCTTTGTCGATTTCGTACCAAGCACAGACTTCAAAAACAGTATCAGCAAAAAATCTCTACGATTTATATTCATACTATACTTTCGTCTCTCGTAAGATCGTCTATAAAGACATATGTTGTCTTGTGCATTTTTAAGCAACGTCTAAAAATTTCTATTTCTTTTTATCCATAGTATTTCATGAAATTCAAGAATGGAAACTTTATATCTTTAGAACGCTTCTTTACATGAGCTGATTTTAGTAATGATGGTAGAACACAATCAGATTTTCTATGCACAAATATAAACTTCTGGAATACTGTTACTAAGAAATACTTTTACATGTGACACAATCTAGAATTTATACCATTTTAGCTTATTATTATGCACATCCTTTCACGCAGATCTGAGATATCCAAAAATGATTAGCAAGTTTCACCAGAAATGAGTTTTTCGTCATTGTCAATAGCTTCAATAAAAATTAAATTAAGTAAACCAGCAAGATTCAAAGACTTTCTAGATATGTGATTGATTTGCCTAGTTCATGAAAATTATCAATAGACTGTTTGAAAATCAAGAAAAAGAGGTATGAATAGAATTAAAACCTTCAACTGTTCTATTCGGTCAGTATAGAAATCATTTCATCCAGTTGAGCCATGCTGAAGAAATAAAGTCTTGGTTTTGACCGATTATTTTCCGAACACTCTTTGCTTATAATAAATATAATCACATTCAACAAAAGAACCTTAAACCATAGATAGTATGGTTTATGAAAAGTCCAACAGGAAAACGATCATACATAACAGTCAAATAAACAATTAAATTCGTAGTTGCCGCAAAAACTATCTAAACAAAATATTTTATTGATTTCAAAATCATATTAATTTCACCGACCATAGTCAGCAAATAATAACAAAAAACAAAAGATGCATAACCTCTCTATGTTTATAGATTCAAAACAAAAAAATTCCTTTTCTTCATTTAATAACATCAACTCGTTACAAAGCCTTGTTGCATCTATGAACAGTTCTGCAAATATTCTTTGTTTGCCTCGTCAAAAACTTCGA